GAACCAAAATTAAATGAGCCTTTCTTGGTTTGATTAACTGCGTGTATATTAATCACAGGAATGCAAATTTATTGTATATTAATCACCATTGTGAATTTGGCTGTTACTTAAGATACATTTAACTTTATTAAACTCATCTCTATGATCTATGATTGAGAGGGGCTAGAGCCCATCCTAGCTGACACTGGGTGAGAAGTGGAGTAAACCCTGGATTTGGATGCCAGCGAATCACAGGGCTGAGTTTATTAAAGTTTTGACCACAAGGAAAAAAATATGCAGTGATTGTCAGGGATTTAAATGCCTCTGGAGGATGTACAGGTACTTTGACGTTCCACCACTACAGGAGCAATTTGAACTCTGCAAAACATACTGCACTGCGGTTGTGTGCCTCCACCAAGCAGTGCAGTTTCCAGACTCTGGTATGAGGTCAACCTGACCTTCGACCTCTGACCACTGAAATCGAATCTATAAATCTTTGAGTCCAAGTGACAGCTGGTCAAAACTTGCAGAAATTCCCTAAAGGCCAAGAAGAAGCCAAAAACATGTTTTGTGTGTCCAACCTGACCTTTGAACACACAAATCGAATCACTTAATCCGAAAGTCGGAGAAGAATGGTTGGGCAACCGCAACACAATATGCCTCTGTCCACTGGCTGTCAATGGCACAGAGACACAAAGAATTCAAATAATTATAGAAATATTAGGATTTTACGTTAGTTCCCACCTTCTGAGTTTGGATCGATAGTTTAACATGAGTCCAAAGTGTCTGGATCCAGTCAAATGCTCCTCATTGTCAAGGTGGAAGCTCATTCCATTACTTATGTGCATTAATCATTCAGCATGTATCAAGTAAACATAAGTGGACTATTAATGAACTCTTGAGAGGGATATAAAACTGATGTTTATTGTACTGCAGGACCTCAGGCCTCTGTACGCTGGTCGCTGTGATTATCACTCCAGTGAGACGGCGTCTGATCGGGACGTAAGACACATTTTTCTCACTTTCATCAGTTCCTCCTCAGTGAGTTTTGCCAGCGGTGCACTCTGGGTGAAGGGACTGTAAATTCATTTTTGACCTTCAGGTGCTCTGTCAGACGTCGTCGCGCTCGTCCTGTAACCTGCGCGTGAAGAGCAACACCTGCTACTGCTGCGACCTCTACAACTGCGGAAAGTGAGTATGCTGAGAAAAAAATCTCCTGACTCAGTGTCTACTTGCTTTGGCTGTGTTGCTGTGGTTGTTTGGATTTGTTCTGCTGTCCCTATTTGTTTTGCATTGCAGTGTTGATTGTACAAGAGCACAAGAATGTTTATTTTTCTTTTAACCTTTGTTTCAGAGAACATCCTCTTATGGGACTTCAGAATAAAGATGTTTTGAAAAAGTTTAGGAAATCGTCCATGATTTGGAAGTAGGTCCCTTTTTTCTAGACCCATACCAGCCATTTATTTTTGATAAGTGACTTCACAGTGTTTTAATGTACGCCATGATGCCATTTCCTCTGCATATGCTCATTGTGACTGATCAGACATTAATCCATGTCCTCGTATGTGTCTTCCAACTCTATCATTATTATTTAACGGCTTCTCCTCTGACATTGATACGAAAACCACTTGAACTTTCACAACCATAAATCAAAACCTGTCTTGTGTCTTCCACTGTGTGCTGAATAAAAACGCTCAGACGCTGGTTCACATAGTTGCATTTTTAAATAACCACTGCCAGTGACTTTTGTGGCTTGACTATAGGCTGTCTCCCTCTCTGTCCCACTCACTGGGCTAGCCGCGTTGAGGTGATCGGAGGCTACCACGAGTACACAGATGTGAAGAGCTGCCAGGACGTTGTGCACCTCTATCACCTGCTGTGGTCGGCCACCATCCTCAACATCGTGGCCCTGTTCCTTGGCATCATCACTGCTGCAGTACTGGGAGGCTTCAAGGACATGGTATGTGAATGACTGATATATTCACAGACAGTCAAGGGCAGAGCGTGCTGGGTTTAATGTTACCAAATGTGTCTGGTGTTGTTTTATGTTAAAGATATTTATTGATCCATTTGTCAGTATTCCCTGATACGGATTAACACAGTTCTACATGTACAACTTGTTTACCTGTCTCATGTTTGAGGTTTATTTATAGATGCTAAATATTGATCTTTACCTCTTTGTCAGACTCCGTCTCTGGCCTCAGAGAGCTCGTCTGAACCAGAGGCCATCGCAGCTCCGGCCCCCTCACAACCTCTTCCACCCCCTACCACCACTCTCAACTCCTACAACACTGGCCCCTGCCTGCCGCCGTACACCGCCTACGACCTGCAGGTACAGTGGCCAAAAGTCATTGTCATCAAATTGTAATTTGATAGATCCGTGTTTTTATTTTGGATCTGCACCAGATTACACACTCGCATTGTCTCAGGTAATATCAGGAGACACGCACTCAAGCTTACTGACTGATTTATCAGCATTCAGTTCTTATTCTGTGACCAATCTTTTGAATGTGGTCATTCTAATCTGTGTTCCTCGTTTCCTCCAGGGCGCCTACACGTTCCCCGACTCCTCCGGCCTGTCGGACGACTCCCAGTCCGGAGCCAGCCACCTGTGGCCCACTATGGTCCCTCCACGCTACTCCCCTCCTCATAACCATCCTGATGAGAAGCCCCCACCGTACAGCCCTTAGGATGGCTCTGGGCAAAAGGAAAACCCCTGAAGGGTTATCAGCGTGTTGTTGGATGCTGAGTGAATGGTTTGAATGCACAACATGTCTGGGCTTTCCCTCTCAATCGCTCAGAACTGCATTGGAGGAAAGGTGGGGAGGAGGACCATGGCCACAGAGCACACAAACTTTGAGTTCAGCCTAACACAAGGGGGCACATGTGTCTCCCAGGGCACCACTCACACTCTGGCCTGCACTGTTTGTGTGTACCTGTCTGTGTGCATGTGTGCGTTTGTGTGTGTGTGTGTGCACATACACATCGAGAGAGAGAGAGCGAGACAACCAGTTTAAACCCGGGACCGTTTACACATCTACTGTATCTGCCTTAACGCAACAGACTTCCAGAGCTGCAGCACCTGGATATTTTCTGTTCAAGGTCAGAAAAACAAAACTTATGCTTTATGTTCACCTGTTTTTTACATCGTGTAAATGCTTCCTGCCTCAAGTGGTGCTGAAGGTCATCGCTGGCTGCACAGTGAGGATCTGGACTGATTAGTACGGCTACGACCCTCATGTGACCTGAATCAGCTAGAATTTAAATTAAACCTGTAGTGCTGTAGGCCCCAGCAGTCGTTTTTTTTTATTAGCGTCAGTGTGCATTATCAAAGGAAACGTTAGCAACGGAGGTTTTACATGCTCATAATGTATGTCAGGCAGTATAATATGAAGATGCTCCTCTAGCAGTTAGGTGCGCCAACAGATCACGATATCTTTTTTATCAACTCTACAATTATTTGAAAGAATAATCTGATCAATGTGCGGTGAATTTTGCAAAAGCAGTGCAATGAAGAAACAAGCTATTCTACCTACAGTAGCCTAGTTGTCGATGGAAAAGTTAACAATTACACTCTGAACCCTATTTATTGTATTTTCCACAGAGCAGGTGGACGTACGTACGTCTCCCTCTTTGTAAGTAGCACTAACGTCACATCGTCAGGCTGAAGTGTGTTTCTCTGTCAGGAATGATCACTGGTGAGGCCGAGGGTGAACAGTCGGTGCTGGAATCACTGACAGGATTCAATTTTAAGAACACATTCTCTCTGGGGCTGATAAAGGTTCACTCAGTTCCTTTGTTTCTTGTCTTGCCATTAAAAAACGTTTTGTGTAACTCACGTTGGGCGTTTATTTTTCCACTCCCACCACTTTGGTCCACACTGAAATCTCTTTTTTTGTCGGAGTTGCTTTGAAGATATGGATCCCACTGACTCTAGTGGTCCTCTCCACTTCTCTTCCAGCGCCACCAAGTGTTTAAAATGTTTGTTTTTGGGAACTGATGAACTCAGTGGTTGAGTAACAGCAGCTTTAGAGCACATGTTCCTGTCAGTATGTTAACATTTACACATTATTGAGCATTTGGCTCAAAGCTCCTTGCATAGGTTAAGTGTTAAATCATGTTGAACTAAATGAAAGCCATTACTGTATCAACACTACTGTACGCTTCAGGGACAGAACATTTTATTAGGTACAACTGAAGGTGTACCTAATAAACTGGTCCCCTTCAATTCAATCAAGCTGCCAATAATTTCACACACTCATAGATATCAGTCGTTTAAATGTGCCGGATTTTTCAAAATAAGATGCATAATAACTGGGGAAACCGAAAATGTCGATCCACACCCTGATCCGTATATCTATGCAAAAATGGAAAGGTCTCTTCCCTGACACATATCGTATCATGGCAACACGTTCTGAGAAAACTAGTTGAGTGGTTTTTGTGTTATCTTATCAAACAAATATACAAATCAACCGACAGACGGGTGGAAACATAACCTCACGTACGGTGGTAATAAGCCCAACCTGCTGAATAAAACAGCCGATAGTTACATGCAAGACAGTCATGTGAAAATAGTAATTAAAAATAATTTATTTACTGTCACGTAAGTTTCATTGCCAATTGACAGAAAAAGGACATTTTGGAAAATGCCAACAGACCCGAGTGTTAAAGGACAATTCAATTTTAACTACTCTATAAACCTAATAAATAAATCTGAAGCTGTAAAACAAATGTTAGCACAAATATATACTGTACATCACATCGATGTTAATTTGTAAAAAACAATCTGCATGGTTTTATTGAATGAAGTGATTTGAAGAGTCGTGTTAGCCCTACTTTCTTACTCATACTGACTGATCACCATCTTCTGGAACAATGTCAAAAATAAAATAATAAAAAATAAAAACATTACACAAACAAATTCAGCGTGTTACAACACTAAGTGCTACCTCCATGGACTGAAATAATCCAATCATCACATTTGAATACAGAAATCTCCAGCCAACGTGATGTGGCCGGCAGACTTTGGCATCAAAATATAATATCTAACATAAAAAACATTGAAATCATAGGGAATAAAAATGTACAGGTGCATCAAAATAAGACAGTTTAACAGACAAATCCAAAACTCATTCATCGACCACTGAAAAAAAAATTAAATAAGCATATTCCCTGCCACAGGACCCAGAAGTGGGATCGCCGACAATCACATAATGAAAAAATACACTTCAGATCATTTTTCTTCAGCATAATTTGGTCTCGAACATTGACCAGGAAAAATTTGTCCAGAAGATCCTCACGTCTGTTAAAATCTACATCTGATCCTTGAAAATGAGCCAAGATCCTTGATTGATGTATCAGCTGATGATCGAATTTAACACCATTCTTTTAATTGAGAGTAGTTGTTTTTTAATTCCTAAGCAATTTAATTGTTGACCAGTCAAAATGGTCGCCTGGTTTCATAAATCATATTTATTAAATTTTATTAAATGAGGCTCGATGGGCCGTCTGGTAACTGATTTGGCAAACACCATTTAAATGTTTCATTTCTGTGCTTTGTGTTTCAGATTCTTTGAGGCCGTGATACACTTTTTGAGTTATGTCTTAACCACATGAGCTTTTCCACTCCTGTTTGTTAGCTAATGTAATTATCATTTACTGAATGATACCAACAATCAAGGCTGTTACAAAAGCAGAGTACGAACAAATGTAAGGTCACATTGAACATCCATCAACTGCAACTATTTGCTGCGTCTGATTTCACTTCAACTGAAGCCGGCACCAAAAACTCCAGCATCCGTTTTCAGTAAAACCGTCGAGGGACTCAAGGTTCAGTGTTCAGCTTTGATTGACTCAAACTGTGTGGATCTGCATCATCACTGTGTTTAGTTCAATAAAACTACACATTTTTTGTTAAACGGAAAGGCCTTGTGTTTAATCTATTGAGAATAACCGAAGAAAATTGTTGACATGGAAAAAGTGTGTGTGTGGGTGGGGGGGGCACCTAAAAGGCACAGGTAACGGAGCGGCATGTGCTGCTCAGTAGGTCTCTGGTATAACAAAGTCAAACTCTGTAGCTGCCCGTGGTGGTGTGTTGTTCACGGTCGACGCTGGTTGAGCATGGGCGTCAGGCGGCATGTGTGCATCGGGCTCAATGAAGATGTCGTCCCAGTTCAACATCCTGCTCTGGGTTGAAGAGTGGACATCTTCACTGTTGGTGGTTATGGAGTGCACGCTGCCGTCCTCGGAGATGCAGGGGACCCCCGGCCCCTCAGTCGCCCACGAGTACGGCTTCATCTGCACAGATTTGCACGGCAGCAGGCGGTACAAGTTGTTGTCTGTGTCGTCTTTCTCCTTCCTCCCACTGGGGTCCTGGTTGTGGACATGCTTGCAGTGGGTGGACAGTAACTGGTAGTTCAGGAATGTGTCATCACACACCAAGCACTGGTACCTCCTCTCTCCTGTGTGGTGGATTTCGTGTTTAGTTCTGTACTCGGCCAAGGCAAAGACTTTGTTGCAGTAGCGACACGGGTACTTCTTTTCCCACGAGTGGGTGTTGAAGTGACGGCGGAGACTCGTCAGACACACATAGGGCCGCTTGCAGACGATACACACGTAGAAAGTCTTCCCATCCATGATCAGCTCGTAGTGATCCTCCAGCTCGGTTTTGCTCTTCTTGTTTGGGCTGGCCTTCGGGGACAACGGTACTTTATCAAAGGTTTTCAAAGGCGTTGCCATCAATGACCTCTTCCCTCTACAGGCTTTAGAGCCTCCTTCACCTGGATCCTCCTTCACTGGGACAATGTCATAAGTATTTTCTCCAATATTGGCATAAACTTTACAGCCTGAAGAAATTGAATCAATTTCTGTGGCTGTATTGAGTGTCACTGTCTTTTTTGCTGCTATTGCTGATTTGGGATTGTTGGCCTGATTAGCTGGACTTTCAGAAACATCTAACAGCCTTATTTTGGAATTCCCCTTCTGAGTTGAAGTAGAGACTTGTTTTTTGTGGACTCCCATGATGTCGCTGTTTTCGGAGGACTGGGAGGCACTCGAAGGCTCGGGGGTGACACTGCTTGACCTGGCTGGTGTTGTCGGAGCACTTCCTGAGGAAACTCTAGCAGGGGAAGCCAAGTGATTGGTGCTGGAGTCTGGGCTGTGCAGAGGGCTGCTGTCTGGTAGACTGGGCTTAGTGGAACTGAAACTCTTAGCCACGGGTGTTTTCGGGGAAGCTGTGGGTTTATCTTTATGTTTTGCAACTGCATGATTTGACTCTTTATTTTTCTCTGCTGCTACATTTTCAGATACAGCTTTTTCCACATCAATTATCTCACCAGTGTCGGCTTTCTGACCGTCCGCCTGAGCGTTTGTTTGCGAGACAAACATGACGTCGCTGTCCGAGTCCTCGTCATTTTCGGCAGGTTTGCTTGTCTGATTGAATTCCTCTGCAGATATCGAGAAGGACTCCGTGATGATCGGCATCACCTCTGCGGGCGTCTCACTTTTGTTCTCTGTCTCTTTGGACAAACCGGGCAGCCCCTTCACGTGTGATAACGGTGACCCTAAGTTTGCGATGAACTTCACTCCCAGTATCTGTCCAGCATTTATGAGCTCCTCCAGCATGTCAGAGCGCACACGGACAATCTTGGAGCTGTACATGTAATTGAGAATCTCCTCAAAGATTTCCGCTTTGATGAAATTTAACTCGATCACTTGTCCAGCTACAGTGAAGAGCTGGTGGAAGTACGTGCTCGAGGCAGACAGGATTGTTTTGTGAGCCCTGAACTTCTTGTCCTGAATGATGATGGTGACGTCACAAAATAATCCATGATTTCTCTGCTCGTTCATTGACTTGAGCACAGTCGCTGAATACTGTGTGTCCGTCGCAGAGATCAGCTTCAGACTCGGCATGTCTGTGGAGAGAAGAAAAACAAAAGAGGACAGATTCACTCCTCTAAATGTGCAGAAAATGTTACACACACTACTCAGACATACAGAACTAAACTAAGAGCTGAAACTAAATGTGTTTAAAAGAGTCCCATATCTGGCTTTTCCACTTCAACAATCTAGTGTTTGTCTTAAACTGAAAACACGCCTGCCTTAAGTTCTACTTTAACATACTTGTCAATTGTCTTTTTTGCTGAAATTCCTTAAAAGTTACAAGTCAACATACAAACACATTTGCAGTTGTTAAGTTATCATGGAGACCAAAGTGAAACCAGTGCATCCTGACACAATTGTCCTACAGAAAACTCTGCCACTGAGAATTTAATAATGTTCAGCTTGTGTTGCCACTGCTTGACAGAGGTGTGGATTCAACTGCATGATGATTTTCGAAGGTGTGAAACTGTCCTGATGAAGATGGAGAAGACAAGATGATAGAAAAAAAAAACCTGTCAGTTCACAAGCATCACAAACTACAGCCTACAAAAATGAATCCGTCACACTTTAATGAAGATATTAACCAATGAGAGCTGTTAGATTTGAACAGCATCTTCTCACTTCACCACATGAACCGGCTTCTGTTCGTCTGCAGATAGAAACTCAGTGTTGACAGAAAACACATTTACAATGATCTAACAGTGTATGACAAGTCTGAAGTACAAGACGCGACGACGAATGTGAACAAATGTCGTCAATGACCGTTTTGAGAAACAGGAAACAAAAACAATAACGTTACTGACGTTAGCTTCATGCTAGTTAGCCACAAAGTTGCAGTAACTAGCCGGGACATTAGACTCGCGTGACGTCGCAGCGGCAGAGAACAACGCGCAGGAACCTCGTGAGGAGTTTCTCTACTTTGAGAAGACATTACAATAATAACAACACCGCTGTTCGCTGGCTAACAAAAGGAGACGCTAGCTGCTCCACTCTTCCTGTTTGGTGGGGCAGCACAGCGCGGCCTAGCATCCTGTTAGCTACAAACACAGCGCCGCAGAGAATCCGTCACGTTTCCCCGAAGCTCGTTCACTGAATGAAAATCTAATTTACCTGCAACCTGGATGTTTGAGCCAAGACCACGAGGAGCAGCCGCCACCGGCTGCAGATGGAAACTTATGTGGCTACAAACAAAAGCTAACAACAGCCAGCCTCCTGCAGCTCCCCCGCTACCCTCTCAGCCACCAGGGGTCGCTGTGGCGCAGCGTTGACGCGCACAATTCAAACTGAACAGCGTCAGTAACGCGATGTTGTGATTAATATCATGTCAACATCCGGTAAGAGAAAACAAACAATGACTTCATTGTTGTTTACATAAAGTTTCAGTAGAAAGGTGTTTATCTGTGTATCCGTCAGCGTCGAGAGCACTACCGGTTCAACTTCAAAATAATGATCTACCGCTCGAGTTGTAAATACCTTCACAATAAAAGCACAGAGAGCCCTCCTCTCTCAAACAAACAGCAGAGCAAGAAGAGAGGTTTTCAAAAGCTGCAACCTCTGATGAGGTCCATGAAGAATATTAATCTAAGAGTGCTCAGATATTTAAAAATAACTTCCTGTAGGTAAATGCATGTTAAAGCACATACAAT